ACACTTAAGAAAAATGTTATAGTACCAATAACTATAAGTCACCTTAAAAAAGAATATATTTTGCATTTATATTTGAATTTCAATGGAACTGCTTTGAATTGTTACTTTATTGATAAGTAAAACAGGTTCTTTTATGACTTAAGTTATAAAAGCTTAGAGTTTATGAGTTCCCTCCCCACCCTGCAATTACCTACAGGAAGAGATTGGACATGGTTCTATTTTATGAGTTTTATAGGGGTACATTCACCCAGTTTATATATTATGAATTCCTGGAAAATGCTAGAAAATAAAGTGTACCCTTTGAAGACATTTCACTTGAATTCATGTATTTATCCATAAACAAGCTGTCCCAAATATTATATTAAAATATGAAACAGCCACATTTACATAAATTATATATAAAGTATGTTAAACAAGTGTAAAACTGCAGTATACAGCAATGTTGAGAACCTGAAGAGAGGACAAAATAGTGATAACAATCTAACAACAACTCAAAATGATGCAAAAAAGCACAAATATCTTTTTTACTTTTTTCTGGAGAAAAAGGAAAAAGAAGGTCTACTGCTTTGCAAAGGAGAATCACAGGGGACTCCTGTCCCAGAGGCTGTGATTCAACACAGATCTCTTGTAATCTAAAAGAGATTCAGAATGAAATTTAACTTACATGATTCAGATAGGTACCTTTATGAATAAATTTAGTGTTAAGGGCAAGCAACATCATGATCATTTAGAAATAGTTTCAAGGTGACAAATTAAGTCTATACATATTTACAACTAATAGATTATAGGAAAAAAATTACCAGTCAGCTGTTAGAAGGGATATAACTGCAGAATGAATGTGCTAAAGGCTTGCAAAATTGGTCTTATAGCAAAAAATAATAATAAATCAATATTTAAATTACAAATGAAGCAAGGACATTTTAAAATCCTAATAATAAGGGAAGACTTAGACAAACAGCAAGTATTCCACATTTGGTATAATCTTGATAAAATCATGGTAAAATTCAGACAGATTTTACTTGAACTATTGTGGTAGCTATGGAGGTGTCTGTGAAAGTGCAAGCTGTATTTTTAAAAAGTGCCAAAAATTCATTTGTTAAATAGAAAAATTGTTCTAATAGGTGTCATAGCATCACTGAATAGATTAAGAATAATGAGTAATATTCGTTAAGTGTTACAGATTTGAAATGTAGAAAATTTACAAAAATTTAAACAATCACTTAAATTAGGCCATACTGATATAATCTGAATTTACTATATCAGTTTTCACTGGAAGAGATTCAAAAACAATGGGGCTGGAGTTGTGGCTCAGAGGTAGAGTGCTTGCCTACCATGCCTGAGGCACTGGGTTCAATCCTCAGCACCACATAAAAATAAAATAAAGATATTGTGTTCACCTATAACTAAAAAATAAATATTTAAAAAAAGAGATTCAAAAACAATACTCCACAAATCACGAAGAATGCTTTATAGGGGTTGGGGTTGTGGCTCAGAGGTAGAGTGCTTGCCTACCATGCATGGGGCACTGGGTTCGATCCTCAGCACCACGTAACAATAAAATGAAGATGTTGTGTCCATCTATAACTAAAAAACAAATATTTTTTAAAAAGAATGCTTTATATATTCAGCATGGTTTACTATGCTTTAATGTCTTATAGGCATATTAATTATGTCGGAAAACATGAAAGCTGTGGACTCTGCTATGCATATGATTATACATTAAAGGGCACGTATGTTTTAACTTGGGAAATATTTCCTTATGCTAGTTGTGCTTTCTCTTTGATTTGCAAATAAGTCCCTCATTTAAAGTAAATACAGTTCTCAAACCTGAACTGATTTAACTATTAACTAACTTTTACACCTGCCTTTTGGGATTCAATGACCTTTGATTAATCTGAGGCTGATAAAATCCTGCCTATAAGCAGGTGCAGGGACTTGTTCTTAAAGTGGCAAGATTTAATTCTAATATTGTAATTGTCTCATGTCTTATTTACATTTCCTCTTAACAGTATAGCATCTGGGTGAAAATTACCAAGGGAAAAAAGTCAGTGAGAAGATGGTTACCCTGTTGGCCATTAAATCTGAACTAGGATATTAGGTCGGAAGAAAATAAAATCTATAATAGATGAACAGGCTGAACAGGTTATTTGTACAAAAGAATATTCATACAGCTCATATCTAGTGTGTCTCCTGCAACACTAAATGTCAGAAGACAAAGATGACCAGTTTCTACAATGTTTTTAGGCAAATAGGTAATGTCAAAATAATAAAAAATTGGCCTTATGCAAAGAGAACTGATATATTTTTAACTATATATGTAGATAATTCATCTCCCATTTTATATTTCTTGAAAAAACAATTTGAAAAATGTACTCTAGGATATTAACAAAATTAAGAGCTCAGGATGCAAAAAAGAGGAGACCATATTCAGTTAAAAAGAGAAGTTTGATTCATTTTGATGGATAAGCTCATATCAAGTGGGGATATTTTTTTCACTTTCTATTAAAGACATCTCAAAACAGGCAGGCTACTATTTATGTCAAAAAGAAAACAAATTCAAAGTTCAAGTAATAAATAAAATACAAAAAAGAAGTAAATTAAAGAGAGAGCGAACACAGAACAAAAGGACAGAGGTGGTTTTGTTCTCAGGCTAATCTATATTTACTTAAGGGTCACTGCTATTACATTATAGTACTATATGCTCAAACTATCCCCTATAACCATATATTTACTGAATAGTCCATTTAGAATTCTAACTTGAACTATCAAGGAACACACCATTCCCTAAAACAGAGGCTTGAGAAATTCTTACTTATTTCCCTCACTTGGTGAATAACTGCAATTGGCATTTAACACTCTCCTAGATATAAGCCATTCCCTAGAGTACTTGGAGCAAGAGGGAGGAGGGAGTGATAATGGGTAAAGAAGTAACCTGGAAACTGAGGGGTTAGATACACAGTCAGAAAGTCAGTCAGGAGCCTGGTCTCAGACACTGAAATCCTGGCCAACTCTCTTTCTGTTTTTTTCCCTCAGGTTCAGTGAGTGAATTGACTCATCTCCTTTTCAGATCAGGAAAGCACAAAGTTTAGGATTACAAATATCTCACTTTGTTCAATTTCCTGAGAGACTCCTTCCTATCTCTTTCTCTAAACATTTAGTATAATTACATTTCTGTGAAAATCAGACTTTACCTGTCCATCAGACGTGGGGGCATTGGGTAATGAGTGGACTTGTGACTCCACTCAGAGGTTTTGGAGAAAGGGACAAGGTGAACTGTCAGCAAACTGAGGGATGGGACTGTGGAGGATGGGTAGAACAGCCTTAGATGGTAGTAAAGAGAGAGAAGGAGAAGTATAGACCCACCTGAGAAATACACATCAAAATTAACCAGGACTCAAGTGAAAACTTGGTGAACTAATGGGTGTTTGGGGAATGCATGTAAACATGAAATACATTAAAACTTATCAAGGCTTGGGGTATAGTTCAGTTGGTAGAGTGCTAGCCTAGCCTGCATGAGGCCCTGGGTAGGATTCTCACCACTGCAAAAAACAAAATTAAAACAAAAACAAAAACAACTCATTGATTGTATACCGTAGGAATAGTAATAAATTAGGAGTAATCAATTCCTAACCCAATTGGAAAAACATAATAAAAAAGACAAGCAATATCTAAACTATTATGCTTTACATTTAGTTCCTAATTCATGGAGTAATTTTGCAATTATTGTCACTATTATAGATATCAATACCATTATTTCTTATGTGTTCATGTGAATTAGTCTCTATTACTTCATCATTTAAAAACCTAGGAATTTACAATTAGCCTAGAGGGTGTAACAGAAAACTGCCAGGCTTTACTTTTCAGAGCTCCTGAATGTATAAACAAATAAGAATGTAAAAACATGTGACATAGGAAAGCTTATAAGAATAAACTGAATTTTGGAAGTATGTAAAATAATTCAATGATGGAGTATATTATTCAAATATATTAAACATAAATTTTTTAATTGCTAATCTGTATTTTTAATATTAAAGAGTAAAAACTGCATAATATTATGTCTACTCTTTTAGCATACTTACTAAAAGATAACTGAAACCCATATTATAGCAAAGTAATTTTTATGATTATGCTGATGACTAAATTTCTGATGAACTAGTCTTTTCTGGAGCATCATACATTAAGTTATCAACTATGTTATATATTTGTGGATTTATTACAAATAGAAAATAGAGTCAACTTTCTAGTGAGGCAATTATTAATCATCAATAAAATTCAAATAAAGTTTAACATTATCTTTATTTTCCTGAAAAATTTATTACTGAATAAAAACTTTTTCATAACAAGAAACAGTGAATTGAATGAAGCACTACAAAGATTTATTGTATAGATAGGATAAGAACATTATATTGAAGGAAAGGTAAGATGTACTCAAGTCTTATGAATCTTTCAACTGGAAACCAGAAAATGATATATATTTCATACAAATATACCCAGAGATTAAAAGGGAAATCTAGTTGTTTTCCTTTTAAAATACATATTTTTAATATCGTAAATAATTAAGTGCTTTTGTTGTCTGTTAGTAACAGAAGAGGAATAAAAATAAGATTTTACTTTAGTAAGAGAAATGAAGCACTAATGGCATTCTTTCGCTGTCATACAACGTTCACTGTAAATAGTACTAGTATATGAAATAGCACTCGTTTTAAAAAAAAGCACAAATTGATGTGCATAAAGATTTACATTACTTTGCCAAAACTATAAGGTATTTTAAGGTATAAATAAATACCTGTAAAAATACTGTATCTTATTTTCCTATATCTTTACAAAAATTACAAAGTTTTCTTCATTATTTGGAAAACATGACATTAATTTCCCTGCAGGGACATACTTTTTTGCCAAAAGGAAGTCATAAGAATTTTCTACAATGGTGCTTTGTGTCACTGTAACCAGCATCATTCTGTAGTTTTTTACAGTTTCAACAATGCAAAAAGAGGCCTTACCGTTGGAGGTGAATCTACTTGATGGTTACAAGGCCTTCTTTCTATGCTGATAATCCCTGTGGAAAGAAAAGAATTGTGAATATGGGGTTATTATGCCTCTTCATTTTATTTTGAAAACATTCATGTCAGTAAGACATGCCTCATACAGTCTACAAGAAAAAAGCCTCACTCAGCTGGCAGGATCCTTTCAAGTTATATCATGAATTCTTTGGTCAGGAACAGTTGGTGAGTTTAGCTAAGACACCCTACTTAAGGTTAGCTAAGACAGTTTTCCCATTCAAGTGGCCTCCAGCAATAGTGGCAGATGTGCCATATCTTGCTTCCAGCTCAAAATTACACCATTATCTGGACTCTGCTGCATTTCCTCCATGAAAGGTTTATTTCTGACTTGAGGTCATCAAGTTTCATAATGAAATATCATAAAGGCCATGAAAGGAATCACTGCTTCCTTATTTTCTCAAAAGAATAAATAAATCTATTTGAATTTCTCTTTGATCTGACTTCCTACTATGACATATTCTATTATTTATTCAACCACCATGGAGTATCTGAGGAAAAAGAAAGTTCCCTGATTCTCTCCTTTAAAATGATAACACTGATGGCTAATCTTGAGAAATATCCTTTTATCATGTGTGGATTTATCTTTTTGTTCTCAATGTCCTCTACTGCATTTCTTTGTAATAAGCAGCCTTCAAGGATATAACACATTGTATCTCATTTGTAAGATACTGGTTCAAAGTCAAGCTCAAGTTAAAAATGAACACAGGCACTGGTCTCATTTAGTTTCCAATCTCTGTCCATCAGCAAACTTACATAAGAGTGAGGATATCAGAAGAGTTTGTTTAAATAACACTAAAGGCTGTCACACACAAGACCTGTTAGAAGTGAGAACTCCAATGTCTGTTAATAGCAATTAGCAAAATTCCTAGTTCAAACAAAATATTAGTTCTTCTGTTTCACAAGCACTTAACGTGAAGTATGAAAAGGGATTCAGTGAGATCAACACAAGCAATTACTTTTTATAACTTGAAAGAATATATTCAAAATGAACAATATACCATGAAACATTTTTTAAAATTATACTTTTGTTTTGTTTTAAAAATTTCTTTCAATTTTTATTGTTAGACAGTGAGATATAAACTACTAGCTACCTTAATCCAATCAACTAATATTTATTTACAGGCTATCTGGCACTCACTACCTAGCTATAGGATAAATAAATTATGATTGAGTCTAATAAAACAGAGATATTTTGTTTTGAAAAAATACTATACAGTAAATGAACTGGGTTCTATTTTACATGTAGTAAGTCTTTAGGGTAATTGTAATGGAAAGACTTTAAATCATAGAGGAACATTACCTTTGAGTGAAAAGCTTAAAAAAAAAAAAAGACAAGTAACACATTTTAGAAAATATTCAAATAGTGCAGATTTTTTTTTAAATGCTGGGGATAGAACTCAGGGCTCCATAGGTACTAATCACAAGCACTACCACTGAGCTACATCTCCAGATCTAAGACCCAAGTAATGAAGATTCTTGTTCAAAGATTTTAATAATACAGAGGTACATAGAACAGTTGGTGAAATTCCCACTTCCCCAGCCCTGATGTCTGCAACCCTACTAGCTGTAACCACTGAAAGCAGTCTGGCACCAGAAGCTTTCAAATGAGAGGGCTCACACCATGGGGTTGAGGAATTAGCAACATCTACATGTGTGTTCTCACTATTGTAACCTGACTGCTATAAAACTGACCTAAGCTGATTATAAATTTTAAAATTCTTATCCAATTAGAAAGTAACTTTAGTTGGAAATAAAAAGTAACTTTAAATGACAAAAACAAAACCCCCAAATAAATATCCTTAGCTTATACAATCACAAGGATAAAAACAACATATTTTAGTTTCATTTGCAAGGCAAGAATATGTTGGAAACTTGAATTTTAAAAAGTAGATTACTCAAAAGTTATAACCTTAGTTGTAATTTAGATGGCAAGTGGAAATAATATTGTTGGGAAATGTTTTTATTCAAGATTGCAGTAATATATATACAAAATGAAATAAGCTTGGGGAAAATGTCCTAAAATAGCTTCCTATTTTAAGTAAATTTTACTTAAAAATCTGCATTTGTATTTCAATTTCACTTTTAGTAAATAAGTGAAAGCTCATATTAAGTAGCTTGCTATAATGATCAATTTTACATGTCAACCTGAGTAGGCTGTGGTACCCAGATATTTGATCAAACATGATTCTAGATATTTCTTTGAAGGTATTTTGTTTTTGGATGGGATTAATATTTAAATCAGTACACCCTAAGAAAGTAGATGGGCCTTCATTATGTAAGTGGGCCTCATCCACTTATTTTAAGACCTTAAGAAAATCGCTGACCTCCCCTGAGAGAAATCTGTGGATAGACTGCGTTTTTGAACTTGAACTATAACTCTTTTCTGGCCTGCAGATTTTGAACTTGACAGTTTCCATCATTCCTTAAAGTAAATCATTCTGTGTGTGTGTGTGTGTGTGTGTGTACATATATACACGTATATACAAACATATACTATTGGTTCTGTTTCTCAAAACATTTATTTCATGTTTCTGGAAAACATGAAATAAATGAAAATGTAATTGTATTTGTATTAAATACATATGGTCATTAAAATACTAATTGTGCAGGAATATAGTTAAAATGTCAAAGTTGTCATGAAATATTTTAAATTTATAAAATTTCTAAATGAACTTAAGATTACAGAATATCTCTAAAATGAATAAATGAAAAAATATGAATAAAAATCAATCTGCGAAGAAATATTACTGCTGTATTGTCCAGTCGGAGAATCTCTGCCTTTCAACGTTTAGACGATTTACATTTAAAATTATTAATGGTATGGCTTTAAGTTTACCATTTTGCTATGCTTTTTTATTTTTTTCAGTACTAGATATGGAACCCAGGAATGATTTACCATTAAGCTACATCCCCAGCCTTTTAAATTTTTTTATTTTGACACAGGATCTCACTAAGTTTCTGAGGCTGGCCTCAAACTTGGAATCTTCCTGCTGTGGCCTCCCAAGTAGCTGAGATTGCAGGTGTGTACCACATTGCCATCTTACTATTTTACTGCATTTTAAAAAATTCTAATATGTTATATATATATATGACAGCAGAATGCATTACAATTCATATTACACATATATTACATTTTATTTTATATTCTTTTAGAATAATTCAATATTTATTATTGTATTTTATGTCCCCTAATGGATTTTTAGCTATACATTTTCACAGTTTTAATGATTAATTTAGAGATTACAGATATACCCTTAATTTATTACAGTATACCATAAATTAGGATTTTCCTCTTAAAGGACAATATAAGCACCTTAAATCAGTATTCCTACATTTACCTCACTACCCTTACTGCTTATACTTCTATGGTACAAATGTGACAATATATTGTCAGTATACTTGTTTTAAAGTCAAGTCTTTTAGAGAATTTTAAAAAATACAGTCTTTTATGTTTGTCCACATACTTATCCTTCCTAGTGTTTTCATCCTTTCCTGCAGGTCCAGGCTTTCAAATGAAATGATTTTGCTCCAGGAGGATGAACCCCTGGTTCAATCTCTTATAGTGAAAATCTGGTGACTGCTTTTTTCCTGAGAGGTTTTTAGTGGATATTCACTTACGAAGCATGTTCTTGATGAGTAATGAAATCTAGGTTGATAGCCATTTTCTTTCAGAAAGTGATTTAATTCCATTTTTTTCTTATGAGAAGGCAGGCATGATTCTTACTGTTATTTCCCTCAGTGTTCATTCTTTTCCCTCTGACTGCTTTTGCAATATTCTCTTTATGTTTCAATTTCTTCATTTTAATTAAGATGTGCCTAGATGTGGTTTTACATGTATGTATGTAGTATGTATGTGTGTGTATATGTGTCTCCTTCTTGAGATTTGCTTAGATTTTAATGTCTAGAAGTTAAAAATCTTTGTTAACAAGAGTAAGAAAATTCCTAGCCCATTATTTCTTCAAATAGTTTTTAAACTCATTTCCTCTACAGTCCTTCTGAATTCCAATTATACATATTTAGTCCATTTTACATTAACACATAGATCTCATACTCTTTCTTCCTCCCAGGGCTTCGTTCCCCCACTGTGTTTCAATTTGGATAATTTTCATGATTTCAGTTGTCTTATTCCAGAATTCAGTGATCCTTTCTTTCAATGAGCCCTATATGCTAACAGCCCATCTAATAAATTGTCATGTTATCTAACACACTTTTCAGGTTTAGAATTTCCACCAGATTCTTTTTTTGGGGAATTTCCATTTTTTTGCTGAAATTCTCTATCTTGTCATTCATTTTGATTTTGTTCTCTCATAAATTATTCAACGTATGCATCAATTATTTCAAAAGTTTTATCTGTTAATTCCAACATTTCCATCATCCCTGGATTCTTTTTATTGATTGTACTTTCTCTTGATTATGGGCACTTATTTCTGCTTTATTCACATGCCTTATAAATTCTGATTACAGGTTAGAACTCTTGGACATATAATCAGTAGAGAATGAAATAAAAAATATCTCTCCTCAGAAAGGGGTCATCATGTCCTTTTTAAGAAAATCTTTAAGAACAAAGATCTCTTTATTCAAATCAGGAGTTGGCCTGGGTTGGGGCAGGCAGTTATTGCTATAGCTAACCTATTATATTAGGTATTCCAAAAGTAAGTTAAGGTCCTCCGTCTAGGAACTCTTTGGGATTTAAACTCCTAGAGATTATGAGAACTCTGCCTTTCTCCCAGTTTCTGGAGTTGTTGCTTATGTCACAAAAAATCCTCTAGGGGAGAAATGATGAGTGAATAAGACTGATTCACATTTGGGATCTTTCAGATTCCAGTTTATCATGGTGGCCCACATGGTCCTCAGCTCTTTTCTTCCTATCTGGAGGCTTGCTCTTCTGTTCTCTTGTGCTTCTACCTCCATAAATGCTCCAATATATTAATAAGTGACAGTTGGCCTTTACTCCTTTATGGGAAGGGCTCAATCTTTTTGCAATTTATTTTTTTTA